CTTTCGTCCAAAAAAAAATACAAAACGGCCTATGAAGCAACATACCGTATGAACGGATTAACTCCCCCGTCTTTCAACTCCATAAAGAAATCCGAATAGATCAAAACGACTAGACCAAATCAAAAGTAGTCAGATATGAGCTCGTCCCCGCAAGCCATTGGAGGGCACGATGTGCAAAACGTACATCCAATTGACGTCCACTGTACCAGCTTTGTCCACTTCTTCCACGTCGGCCTTGCCCACTTCAACTTGGCGCGCCGCCGGTATTTCCGCTCCAGCCGGAACTGCTGCTTTGACGATAATTTGGACATGTCCGGGGGCCAGAGGCGTTTGGCTTTGTATGGACTCGTGTAGACATCGTTGGGGTTCTCTGAGGAGGGCGTGGAAGTGCTGAAGTGGGTTGTAGTGGGCGGGGATGGTTGGGGGTTGCGGACGCAATGCTGGGGGGCGGAGGGGAGTGGTCGGAGAAAGAGCGGAGCGAGGGAGGAGTGAAGGCGGCGGAGAGTGGAAGGAAGAGCTTTTGATTTCTGGATAATTTTTTGGTCCCAATTAGTATCGGTGTCGTCTCCCATGATTTTGAATGGAGGTCCCGTACCGAGCTTGGGTTGGCCTGGCGGAGCCACGTGGGTGGTCGAAATGAGCGGCTTGCGGCCCTGCAGACCGCTGCTGCAGGGGCGGTAGCAGCCGACATAGTATTCAATTTCAATTGATGCCTATAACTCTTGAAAATGGTACTCCGTAGGTGGACGTTTATGAGAGAAGAGCGGATAATTTCTGGGCGCAGAGTTGCCAGCCGGAGTGCCAAGACCACCTGTCATGGTCCGTGCGTTTCCGCCCTTCCAACATCGGATGAAACTGATTTCCGCTGCTTACGGCGGAATCCACTGGCATGGGCTGGACCTGTATGCTTAAGCTGAAGATGCACAAGTTCCTGCGACATGCGCTATTTCTTTGATCCCTATAGCAATATATTGCTTGCAACTTTGTGCTCAGTGAGGGTTATGTATGCTTGAGTTGCGGTGTTAGCAAAAGATTCCAAGAACAAAGGTAATAAATAGTTGTTACGCGGAGCATAAGATAGTCCGAAAACCGGAGGCAATATCTACAACCACGTGTGGGATGACAGTCGAGGACTTAGATACATTGTCATCACATGAAGGCCAAGGAAGGTCGAGAGTTATCAGATCAGACTTTCGGTGAGAACTCTGGCCAGATACCACCAACCTCCCCCCATATATATGTAGGACTTAGTAGCTCCAGGGTTCAGAAAGGCTGAGCCAGGCCCAGTCCAGCGTTGTACGGCTGAATTCAATTCATGCATATGATGGCTACTCCGTACATCTTCTTCTTTGTTGCCATAGATAATCGATGCAACTTTCACATGCACGGGATGTCGAATTTGAGTTTACACGTGATGCGCTAGGCCCGGATTAACAAAGATCCAGAGCCTCGGCTCGTGCAGGTGGCTGATTAAGCAGCGGTTGGCCCGACGAAGAACCATATATAAGACGAACTGGGAAACCCGAATATTATTTTTCCCATTATTTCCTGTCGCTTATACCTCTTCTCCCTTTCTTTATCGAGTCAAATTATCATTCCTTTCTAGAAAGACTCCCCAAAGAAAATCTCTTCCGCACTTTCACCATGTCTCAAGGCAAGTTTTCCCCGCTACGTCATCGTTCAGGACCGGTGGACTGACATGTGATACGTTCTGTAGCTGCACAACGTCTTTCCCAGGTCGCTTCGCATATGACCCCGTCCAAGAGCGGTGTTTCTGCCCTCACAGCTAAACATCCCGATGATATCGTCATAACGTGCGCTCTCCGGACGGCCATCACCAAGGGTGGCCGTGGTGGCTTCAAAGATACCGCCGCGGCTGATCTTTTGGCTGGTGTCTTCAAAGCCGTGATCGATCAGTCGAAAATTGACCCATCTCTCGTGGAAGATATTGCTGTCGGGTCGGTACTACCTCCCGGTGGTGGTGCTACCGAATTCCGCGCTGCTGCTTTGGTTGCTGGATTTCCTGAGGGAACCGCTGTAAAGGCGTTGAACAGACAATGCTCCAGTGGATTACAGGCGATCGTTGATATTGCAAATGAATTGAAGGCTGGTGTTATTGATGTTGGCATTGGCGCTGGTGTGGAGAGCATGTCCTCTCAGTATGGGTAAGTTTGCACCTTAAATCTTGGCCTAAAGACCTTGCGACTGATGGCCGATAGACCCGGTGCTGTCTCCGAATTTTCTGAACTCCTCGAAAACCACACTGAAGCCGCAAACTGCAAAGTCCCCATGGGTATCTTGTCGGAGGACATGGCCAAGGACCTTAAGATCAGCCGTGCGGAACAAGACGTTTTCGCGGCCTCATCCTACCAAAAGGCCGAAAAGGCCCAAAAGGAGGGCCTTTTCAACGAGGAAATCGTCCCTCTCAGCGTTAAATTCACCGACCCAAAGACCAACGAAGAGAAGACTATCGTCGTCAACAAGGACGATGGCGTTAGGGCCGGCATGACGCCCGATTCCCTCGCAAAAATCAAACCCGCCTTCGCAAAGGACGGTAGCATTCACGCCGGAAACTCATCTCAAATTTCCGACGGCGCCGCTGCCGTCTTACTCATGAAGCGTTCCACAGCCGAACGGCTCGGCCAAAAGATCATCGGCAAATACGTTACTGCCAGCGTTGTCGGCGTGAAGCCACTTCTCATGGGCCAAGGCCCATGGAAGGCCATCCCCGTGGCGTTGCAAAAGGCCGGAATCACCAAGGAAGATGTCGATATTTACGAAATCAACGAGGCCTTTGCTTCTCAGTGCTTGTGGTGCGCCAAGGAGCTTGGTTTGCCCATGGAGAAGATCAACCCCAAGGGCGGTGCCATTGCATTCGGCCATCCGCTCGGATGCACTGGATCCAGACAGGTTAGCACGTTGCTGACGGAGTTGAAGAGGACGAACAAGAAGATTGGCGTCACTAGCATGTGCGTTGGAACTGGCATGGGTATGGCGGCTGTTTGGGTTGCCGAGTAAAGTCATGATGAGCTGATGATACTTTCTTTACACATTTCTCTGGATTTATCTATATTCTGTGATTAAGCCTGCGTCTTTTCAGCCCGGATTAGGGCTTTTGTATATTATATTTTAGGTAGTCGGGGTTAATACCGATGATACACTATTTCTCCATCGGATGATGTAAGAGCCTGAGCCAGATTCATCAACGCGGCTTCACAGTCTAATCGCCTCAGTTATGCGCCTCTATGCTTCTTGAAAGCGTCAAAGACGGTAGAACCATTAAACACATCTTGTTTAACACGCTCATCGGCCTCCACCAGCTTCGGCAGTAACTCCAAGACATCATCCAGCAAATTCTGGGGAATGACCGTAACGCCTTCACTTGGATCACAGAATGCAATGTCTCCCTAACCACAGCATGTCACTCAACACCAAAGCTCAAAAGTTAGGGAGGGAAACAGATAGCAAACATACTGGCTGAACCGTAACACGCCCTACAGTTATCGGCACATTCCTCGCACCCGGTTTGGCTTCGGCACTCGTACCAACTGTAGACTGACACTTGGCCCACACCTGTTTCAAGCAGCACAGCGATCAAGATACATCCGGTGAAGTCATTCCTTTACCCGAATGGTTATACGTACCGGTAACCCAACCGCGCGCAATTCAGCCATGTCTCTCACCCTACCGTTTACAAGCGCCGCTTTGGCACCAATGGCGCTCATCCTCGCGGACATGATTCCGCCTAGAATGGCACACTTTTGATCTTCTGGTTGATCGAGGAGCACGATGGTGTCGCGCTGGGTGTGGTCAACCCAATGCGTGCCTTCCGGGAATCCGTGATGCTCCGGGTCATCCTGGGCGATCTGGGGAAGGGCATCGCTTTTGGAGATGAATTGGACAGTGGAGATGGGGGCGATGATGCTGGCGGGTGTCTCAGGGGATACCGGCCATGGGAGGCGGGAAAGGAACTTGGTTTAATGTTAGATATACGCGGGGATTTGGAGGTGATGTGATAGATAGGCTCACTAAGATCAGCTAGGAACCCTGCATTTGCGGGTGAACCTGGAGATACTTTCTCCAGCTTGAGGAGAGCATCTGATATCTTTTGAGACCATGTGAGAAAGATGCTGGTTCAAGCTGGTAGGGACAAGGTACGACGCACATCGCATGCAGAGTACTTTTGTAGTTTCGCGACTTTTTCCTTGGAGAGTTCAACCATTTTGGGCCCGATTTGAGGTTGTCAAGGCAAATCGTGGAGAAGCTCCTGAATAACTTCCTAAGCGTAGCTACCTTAACACTCTCGTTTCCTTGATCCTGTGGTGAGAAGCTGTACCCGTTCAATATTTAAGGGGAGGTTTGTGTTGAAGGACGTCCATCACCAGGAGACATGTGATGCTCCAGGCAGTTGCATCTTCTTCGTCGTTCCTGCACACACCAAATTCAAACAAGAGCACATTCATCAGATAATCAACTGCATACTCCCAAGTCAAATGCTCCTAATAATCTTCCATCCAGCCTACAGATCTTCCAATGATTTCTCCGCTGCCGGTGCCTAACCCTCCCTAAACCGTGTCCTCAGCCAACGTCCCACCAGGTCCGAAACCACTCGCACACGCAGCAACAATGCCAGGCAAATCCAACATCCTCCATCAGTTCTTCTACACCACTTTCTTCAGCTTTCTTTTAATTGTCCTCTTCATCCTTACCCTCTTGACACCCGGAGATCTCATATACCAGTCATACTCAACTCGTCGGGTAGGCAATATCTTTGCTATCACCGGCGTCTATATCCTCACCTTCCTCTTCGTGCTCTTGATATATGCTAGTCGTATCTTCACCAATCGCAGCATCCTAGCGGGCATCCCCAAGGCGTGGATTCCAGTTGAAAAGCCCGACGTGGGAAATACCGTTCGTCGCCTCGTCCTTGAAGGCTTAACCAGAAGTGCCATCATCGCCCAGCAGGCTAGGCCCCGGGATCGGTCGGGCGAAGATAATAGCCAGCTGGATCAAAACATAGTTATATCTCCAGACAACCCACCGCCATGGGGCGCTGTTGCCCATTCTGGCTGGACTGCGCCCGACTGCGAAGATTTACCTGGGCAGGAATTTGAGCTGGTGGTCAAGGAGCTACCACATTTGATTGAGGCAAAGGCCGTGTCACTCGCCCCCACAGATCCAAGATTTTTACCCTCTGATCTGGAAAGGAGTTCTAGGTTTCTGGGAGAGCGTGGTGATTCCGAGTATATGCCGGATCAGCGTGTTGTGAGCCTTCTACAACGGCCGGCCACAATGTGCCTGCGGGATTACGTGGATCATCTAAACGGGATGGGCTTGATCAATCCTCCGCACCTGGCAGACTCTTTCCTAAACTTGTATGAAAAGTCCAGGTTTTCATCGCATCCTCTCACAGAAGCGGAATTCCGTACGATGATGGGGATATTCGCCGAGATTCTTCGTGGGATGATGGTGCTCGACTCGGAAATCGTTGCAAGCGCGCAAATGGAAGAATCTTCCGATGACTCGGCTTCGTTTGGTGGACAATCGATCACGAATACGGATTCTTCCTCGTCCTTTTTATCCATTAATCGCAGTGGTTTATATAGATACCCGTCATCTAATAGCTCATCGGCGAAATCGAGCTTTAGGTTACGTACCGGATTCGATTGGCAGAGTTTACACAGGTCTAATCAAAGTCGAACGCCTTCTACGCGGTCCTTTTGATAGATGAATATCTCCATACGCAGCGAAATATCAACCTCAACATGCCTGTCCTACACAACCGATAGCCTAGCTACTCGTTCTATTTGTAGCATTTGGAAAAGCCCACCGTCTGACATCTTGGCCAAGAGGTTTGCCTGGAGGCAGATGCTTAGCGTTGAAAATACTCAGGCAATACTCCTCCGACTTCCCAAGTGCTTAGCAACGATTAATATCCCGAAGATTGCGTTCTACTAGAAATGCGGTCGACTTCACTCGTCGCGCGGAGAAGAACGAACGACTCGGGAGCGAACTACACCAGGCAACAAGTTGGCATCGCCACCTTTTCCCCAATGATTTGGACTGGTGAGGCGATTCTGTTCAACCACTTTGCTTCTTTCATAGTCGCGCCTGTTAATAGTTCCCATGGAGGTTGGTCTTCAAGGCGATCTCCTCGAATTGAAGCATGGGCATTCCTCGAACCGGGCACGCGATCCAGGCCGAAGGCCCTAGGCCTTCAGGCAGTTGCAAAAATGCGAATGCAGTATGCCACATCTCGACTCCTGAAATCACACCCTATCTCTACGGCAACATTCGTAGGGCCCATGGTACCATGCGATGGAGCGTATGCTGGGGATCCCGGTGATGAGGCTCTTGAAAGGATGGCAGCCGAGACAGCACGGAAGGAGCTGGAATTTTCTGTATATAAAACTGTATTCTTCTTATATCGTATAGAGTCAGCTTATAAACGTGTTGTACTCCGTATGAAGTTGGCTCAACGTTTACTCCGATATCCGGCTTTAATAATAACTACCGATTGGTTAGTAAGAATGTTCGATTTCTTTAATTCCGCACTTCTGACTAAGCCCCGCATCAGATAAGATAAGCCGGGCGATGGAAGTATTTAAGCTAGAATATCCGATCTGATAACCTGTCCATCAACTTACTCCTTTGATCACATCCCATATTCTGCGAAATTATCGAAAGGCAAGTGATATAATTGTGAGATATGCGATGGAACATAAGACTTCTCTGAGATAGCGAGCAATTAAACAAGACCTTCCCCCGATTTTCACATCCACGACCACTAAAACGATGGCCTCCCTGCTCCGCCGTGGACTCGACTATCTTTCTCCTTCCGCATCACCTGCACCGTCGCCCCAAATTCCCAATTTCGAAGCCGGTGATGACCCCAAACCCCCCAAGCCCATCGCACAGTTCACTACTGCATCCACGCCGACCACCCTCTTTACATTGGTCGACAAAGCCGTCGACGGCGAAGATTGTGACCATGACTGCGCCTCCTGCACAATTAAATACCCTGCTAAATTCAGCATTGATTATGACGACGAATTATACGGGCATGTGAAGGGGTGGATGACCCATATTCTCGTTGCAACGGGGAAAACCGATTGGGTGAGGGACGTGGCAGATGAGAAAGGGAGTGTGATGGAGGCGATTGGGAAAGGCGGCATTAGCCCAAGCAGTGGTGTATGAGTTTCTGGATCCCTGATTTCTCCGCGGTTTTTTATTAATTGAAATGTTGCAGCCGATGAAACTGTCTGCGTCGAACATGCCCGTGCCGGATGAGTACTATCACCATCCGGAGGGAGAGCAGCCGACAACTGTCTTACTGCTGCCTGCGTTCACGATCATCGACCATGTGACCCCGGCTTTGGTGCCGGATTTGATCAAACATTTCGTTGATCTTGCTCCGACGACGACATCGCCTTTAACAGGCACGCCCCAAAAAGCAGAACGGGAGGAGCCCACAGAGTTAGCAATACCAGACAGCAACGCCGCAGACCCGTCATCTCTCGACCTTACCCAGCTGACACAATCTCTTCCCACTTCTCTGCACTCGCGTCCCTGTCCGCACGCTGCTGTCATCCTTCTTTGCTCCCAAAAGACCCGGGACGCGCGATGCGGTCAATCAGCACCCTTGCTCCGCCGTGAATTTGAACGACACTTGCGCCCACTGGGTTTGTACCGGGATCTCGCAGACGAGAGACCTGGGGGCGTGGGTATCTATTTCATTAGTCATGTCGGGGGCCATAAGTATTCCGCTAACGTGATAGTGTATCGAAGAAGAGACTTTGAATGGTTCAAGAGGCAAAACCACGACTCCGAAAAGGAGTGTGAAGCGAGCAAAACAGGCACAGGGCAGAACGAAGGAGCTGCTCAGGGAATATGGCTCGCTCGAGTCCGACCAGAAGACTGCGAAGGGATTGTGAAGTTTACGGTGCTGCAGGGGAAAGTTGTGAAACCTGGATTGCAGCTCAGGGGTGGATTTGACCGTGAAAAGGGATTGATCAGCTGGTGATAGACGGCAACCTATCAGGACAGACTGTGGGCGGAAAGATGTTGTCTGTCAGTACTTGATTTTGGACGACATTACGGAGTAGAAAGGAACCCAAAAATGCGGTTTTCCCGTTTCCAATACGCGCATATTAACACCGCGAGATCAGAATCGAAGTGAGGCATTCTCCTATAACTAGGGGGTTATTCGTTACCTTCTGCTATTAAATGTGGTGTTGTAATTTTGAAAGACCCAAAGCCGCCTTTCAACCTCCTCTCACCCGGTGATCAATGTAAAACATGGCGCGGGACCCCAGGAAGGAACAAAGAAACGGCTGAGGAAACCGCTCAAGAAGCTCCGCTGCAACGATTTGACTCGGGAGTTTATTCGAATGACTGGGCCTAAAGAAAGGTTAAGGGAACCCGACAGACTGGGACGGGGGAAGAACCGATTTCATCCGCGTGCATGGTTCTGTCTAAGAGAGGGCGCCAGCGGAACCATGGCCCTGTTCCGGGTCCTGTCCTGTCCTGTTGATGAGACACAAGACAGAGAGAGGCTTTTCCTCCTTCTGTGGGTCCCAGCAGTCAGTTTAAGCTCCCGTTATTCATGGAGAAATCCATGTCCCAATCTATGGAAACCAATGGCGCTTGCATACTGGACGATTGAGCATCTCAATTCCCATTTGCATTGCTGATCTGGCCTGGTGGCTGCAAGAGGCTTGGGTTTCTCTCAACCATACTATTCGCTCCATGATCGAATTCTGGTGACTGAGACCCACATCTTGAATGTTAAACATTCACACTTTTATAAGGTTAGGCAACGCGATGAAAACAGGTGAAGATGTTGCGAAAACGACCAAGGAAAAGCAAATTCAACCGCCGCCACGATGGCGAATCAGCAATGCAGAAAAGATGTTCAAGAATGGAAGCGAGGTCTTGAATGAAAAGGAAATCCGCAAAGAGAAACTCCCCTCGAAACAATCAACAATAACAGTAATAAACCAGTGCCTTCTCCTGAGGGTCCCGATGTTTCGGTCGCGGCTAGTAACCGTCCTGGTCCCATCGAACGAATAATATCTCAGGGATGAGGTGTTGGTTTCTCAAATGCAACTAGCCCATCAAGGAAGTCCTCCCCACGCTGAGCAGGGCCTCGAAGGCTGAACGCAAGAGTCATGTCCTTTTTTTTTTCTGTTGGACAACTCCTGGGTCCGCTACTATGTGCATGGATTAGCCCAATAATTCAGATCTCGGCCGGCAAAGGAGATGGGTTAGAAGTTGATAACTGCTTCGAGAAGCGACAAAAGGCGTGATTATGATGGGAGCGGTCCTAGAAGGATGGCTGAAAGTTTAGAATCATGCACGATTCGCTCCATAGCCCTCTTAAAGAGGAGATGCATGGTGATGTCCCCAAGCCTGAGGCTTTTTCTTCGGGTCTTCGCATAAAGGAAGGCATTTGGCTAACAGTTTGTTAGCAATTTAGTGTGGACGTTTCCATGTCGCAAAATACTGAGAGATTAAGATCCCTGATGATAATAAGCGAGCAGTTACTCCGTTTGGATGTTGTAGGACATACCATGGGTAACTTGTGGTTTCTTGAACAGATAACCCAAGTAACCGGGAGGACAACCCTGGTGCGTTTGGCAACTATGTTGGTTACTGGTTAGCAAATATTATGTACGCCATACCCCGACACGTACCTGGTTTTCGGGATTTGCTGCAGAAGTCAAGCTTATGACAATATCAAATCTATGGAAAGTTAAATACGGAGTATTGGAATGTCATGTTCCCAGCCTCGCATGCACGATTGGGGCGATTTTGGGGTGGAAGTCGGCAACCCCCGACTTCATAGGTTAAACAGCTCTGATTCAACCATTTCAAGCCTTTGCCTTCGTATTGTTCTTCATGCCTCGTGCTGTCAGGAAGAAAAGTTTAATATATTAATCCTTGGTTGTCGTAGCCAGGGAAAGTGGGCGATTCCAAAGAATTTTTGGTGGAATGTAGCTTCAGTGTCTCTAGATTGAGCAGAAATATGTACTCCGCAGCGTTTGGGGGACTGTGAAGTGTGTCAGATAGTCCGAGCAGAACTGCAAAATCTCGCATTGCTTCATAGCACCTGACCGTGCGAATTGAGGAATTTTCCTAAACATGAGCATCTTTCCAAGAGAATTTTTGCGTCCTCCACCCTAAGCCATATATCCACAATCTAAAACTCCAAGTCGTTTTCCCTCCAAGATGACAAAAATATGGGGGTGAAAGTATATCTCCAAACATAGCCGATACGATTTGGTTCTTTAGAAAAGAAACCGACAGACTAGTTACTGGCAAGAAAAAAGGGTATCCATCGCCGAACCTTCCAGGCTCTTAACATAAAATTCGTAAAAGTATACACAGACTGAAGCAAATATCCAAAATTGTATATCAACATATGTCCAACTCCGACGTCAACTCCGAATCGAAAGGAAGTTGAAAAAGAAGGGCATCAAGGGTAGAAGCCTTCTGAAAACGGAATATTTGAAAACTTGAAAAGGAGAAGAATAATGATGATCTTAGAATCGGAGTCCCTCATGTTCACCCCTCTAAGCCCAAGAAATCCAAAGATCCCCTTTCTGCAAACTGATCTAGGATACGTGGCCCTGATAGTTTGTCCAAGGGGAACACTCCATTGTAAGATACCGGAAGAGCTTCAAAGTGTGGTGCGATATTTTGAGGCATATGCTGGAAGCGAGATATAGGATCTATGGGGGCTGTAACATCGAATCGTTGAATTTGCGGCTGCATAATCATTCCAGCACCGACGTAATGAACCTCCGGTTCCATGGGCGGATTTTCAGGTGCAACCGAGATTGCGTGCACCACCGGCTGCGTTTGAGACGGGTAGAATTCAGCGGCACTGATCATGACTCTGGGTTGCTGGTATGGCGGCGGAGGTCCAGCAACATGAGTTGTTGGTGGTAATAAAGCTGGTGGCTGAGGTGGTGGGTGCGAATATATCTCCTGAGGCATATGTTGTGGAGTTCCATGTGCTTGCGGGGATAATTCTAGTTGATGAGAGCGATGTTGGTGTTTCGTTAATGTCGTTTTCCGACAAAAGCTGCAGAACCCGTCAGTTTCTCATGTCAGGTGCATATCCTCTAAGAAATCGTTACCTTCGTTCACACGTCGGCTCGAGACACTTGTAGGGCCTCTTGCCAGTGTGTATCCGCCGGTGTCGTGCAAGGCTAGAGGACTGGATGCAATTGTCAGAAAACAGTCCAAGGCATGCTGTGACAGTATCATCGGAGAAAAGCAACGGGGTTTGACAGTCAAGAATGAAATATTGGGGTATCTGTATCACACACATCTGAGAATGCTTTTTTGCAATTCGCGAAATCGCAAACATGTGGTTTCTCGCCCGTGTGGGTCCGAGAGTGAACGGTCAAAGCAGACCTCTGGATGAAGCTCTTTGTACAGTTTGGAAACTCGCAGTGGTAGGGGCGGTCATTGGTATGTATGCGGTGATGTCGACACAAGTCAGACTTGCGATTGAAGACCTGTGTTGAGATATACATTAACACCCACGAAATGCAGTGCTCTGGGCGTTTGCGAGGCGGTGGTATTGGCGGATTAGGTTGGGAGAAGACTGGTTACCTTTTTACAAGTGGCCCATGGACACGGGAAGCTGCGTGTCCGTGCCATGGCGTTCTTTTTTTGTTTTTTGCTTTGCGTGCTGCAACGGGATCGTTTTTGTCGATGACAACGAGAGAAATATGGATCTGAGAGCAGACGAGGGGCGGGAAAGGGGTGCTAGCATGCGACGATGTATATTGGGGGACAGGAGTATCGTAAACGGACCAAGCAGATGCGAGACGACGAAAGCGTGGTCAACCAGATGTTCAGCACACACATAGTATATAAGAAAGCCAAAGACCAGCTCTGCAGCAAACAGCAACGACCGCGGAGAGGAATTTCACACTCGACTGGAGAAATTATTGAACTGAGGAGCGAGGATTGAGGCGACTTAAGCATGAAAGAGAGCCAAGACGTGGGACGAGCAAAATCGAGCCAAGCTTCCACTTCCTCCCTGGCAAGAGCGAAAATCACGCCCTAGTCTGCATGCGGCTAGCGCCAATATCGACCGCACTAGCGTGGAACCGGCCAGACATGACCGTCCGTATCAGACGTACCATACAATGTACGTCCGTACCAGCCTGCTTCCTGGCGATACCGGCAGTCGGACAGGCGGAAGAGCCCGTATGGGATCCCTCCCGCACTAGCCCAAAACGCGCTCCATCTCCGCAGTCTCAAAGACGGGGACGGCTTGTGGAGCCAATGGCAGTGCCGCGGGGTTCTCCACTCTATCACAGTACGGCGCAGGCCTGACGGTATCGAATACCATACAGCCACCATGGTGTAATGAGATGGTCACATTTCAGCTGACTCCCCCATGCCACTCTCATGCTTCACACCTGCGGCGAGCTCCCTCTTCGCATCCTCATCCTGTCCACTCCTTCTCATTGTTTGGTCTCGCAAGGGTACTCTTGTTTAATATTAGACAATCTCCCTGGCGGCCGGCTCTTGAGGGCTTCACTTGAAAACAAAGACAGAGTGGATCTGCTCCCTGGCCCGCCCCATTGTTACAGCACCCCACGCCCACTGCTCCTCCAGATCGCATCTTGACCCCTCGATCTTGTCAACAGAGCTTGTTGTTTTGTCCGATCTATGACCTCTCCTTCAAACTAGTGGTCACAGAGTCGGCCGCACATATTCTCCTAATCAGAATGGGCGAAGAAACATATGTGAAATCTGGAACACCTCCCCCCCTTTTCACCTTGCACAGCGCTCTTTGTAGATGGCATCCGGACTTGGTAGAAATCACACTTGTCCCCCGGGCGCAGAAGAATCCGCATGGTCGTCAAGTGGTGATCCTTCCTACCCAAAGGATTCAGCGACGTCGATCATTGCACACGTCAACCAACGTCCTGGGTTTCACAGATTCCCAATGAACCCTGAGCCATATTATAGCTTCCTCTTCTCTTCAAGACGCAAATATAGGTCATTGAACGACCGACATCCAACCTCGAGGGGAAGTTGGGGCTAAATTAGAACCCCCCAGTTCGCTTAGAGCAGCAGCCAAATATGCAGGGAATGTCCTTCCCAACGACAAGATGGCTGCTCGTCGAGGCCTCCTTTTACACATTGCTGTGCAAATCAGAGTCCTCGATTGAAATCTTTCCGTATACGACCCTATTCGTTCGCGTTGCCGACGTGGCTTACAGAATTTCCAGTAGTTGCCACATGGTTTGAGAGGGAGGAAACTGGTGTAGTTCTGGTTTGTAACCCCCAAGTGTTCAGCAGCAACACGAGGTTTCGGCCCTCCCTCTTTGTTAGAGGGGCCATCAATCAGCTGTTAGCTTGGTTTGAGTATCGCAAAAGCCATCAGGTAATGGGCGAACGGTATATTCTCAGAAAAGCAAAAATAAAAGAACAAGAGTGAAAAGGCCAAAGGCAACGGTTGCAATAAGGGTTGCATAAAAGTAGCAGCTCCCTTTAGTTTCACATTTGCCGTGGAGGTGGCATGAGCTCCAAATGCCGTGCTGAATTCGGGAGAACTCTGACCTTTTTTTTGAATGGTCTGAACCAGGAGTTCAAGGCTGCAGCCGAAGTGCCATCACTCTAGATAATCGGGTGTCCCGCTGTCTAGGCGTTTCGCAGAGCTATGCAGCAGTGTGGCATCTGTCTCCGGGCGATACGCTGCTGAGCGAGAAGCATCTGAAATCGGTTCCTGGGGTACCCTCGACTGCGGGGTTAGGTTTGCTGGGCATCAGCACGTCAACCAGCGACTGCCGGGGTCATACTAATCTGATAGGATCCCGGCAGGCTGGGATGGCACTCGTGAAGTTTGGGTGAGAGAAAGAGGAAAAAGCGCTGGAACTCTGCAAACATGACAGTGTCCGTTATGTTGGGATGGACGTTGCTCATGTTACACCTGGTACCAGGCCAGCCGTAACTTATCATCCTGGCGGTACCAGTACTGCCGTACGGTTTGATTACAGTTAAGGTTGTCCCCATGTTTTTCTGTTTGGCGGACGGTTACTAGTGAGCATGAAGTGCCAAGGCGCTACGGGCTGGCCCACAACGGATCTGGCCATCAGATGGAATCAACCACCACACGCGACGAGCAGGAACGTCGTGCCTCAGCAGGATACACCTTTGCGAAAACACATAATACCAGGAAGCAGGAGATATGGCGTTGACGATCATCAGAAATTCCAAAAATCGAGATTCCGGTCATGTGTCCTACAGAAGCATGTCACCGGTGGCTTTGAGGTTCAAAGCATGTTTCAAAGCATGTGCAACAGCAAAGGATCATCTGGTACCGTTTGCCCTTAAAAAAAAAAAAAAAAAAAAAGGCCATGCTGCAGTGAACTGCAGGTGCACAAATGGCGTACCAGGCTCGAAAGCTGTGTCTCTCCAATAACCATTCAATGCCTGTCCAGTTCGCACACATAAGGCTCCAGGCCAGAGATAACGAGAATAGCTCCTCCTCTGTGTCGCATAACAAATGCGGCTGCTCCTTTTTGCTCCAAAGATCATTGTTACAGAGCTTGTCAAGTGCTACTATTCTCTCCAGGTCCATGGCACAAGAGCTTTCTCAAGCGCTCTCTCAACCTTAAATCTTGTGTTTTGGAAGATTTGCAACCTGTGTGCTCATCAGCTAGCTCTTGATAGTTTGGGAATCATCGCAAAAGCAGGATTGCAAGCCCACCCCTGATGCAATGTGGCGCTCTTTAGATACATCCATACATTTGTACAGAGTACATGTTTATACCTCCGTCTTCAAGGAGAATACACCCAGAGTGAGAAGGCTCGGTACCAACCATTATGAAACATCAACTGCGAGAAAAGAACGGCATAAAAATCAAGTTGCAGCATCCTTGCAGACACGAGTTCTGGATGCCGCTTTCAGTACCGCCAATGTATGTATTTATATCTATGGTCGCGGATGATGAAATCATAGTCAGACTTTCTTCCACGCGGATTCGGCAATCCAGACACAGAGGAAGCTTACTAGCTCAACCACGTTTTTTTGAAGCACGCCAGAAACGCCGTGCATCGGGCATATTTCAAACGAGGGGCCAAAAGGCAGTGCGTGTGTGGCGGCGCTAGCTGTTGTTACATTTATGAGTAACAGTGGGAAGAACATTGCTTTTTTCCTTGATCCCAAATTCTAATCTTCACGGATGTTCGCTGGGACTGCGCGGAAGGCAAAGGCAAGATACTTGATGCGTGCGGCTGCTATTCCCTTTTCTGGGTGCTGTCGACCCTTGTCGTCCCACGCCGCAGATCCAATCTTACAGTCGAGCTGCAGATCCAAGATGCGATCGTAAAAAAAGTCCTCGGAGGATTCGTCATTGGGCCATATCAGAGCGACATTATTATTCAGAGTCTTGCAAGGGTGCGAGCCAGATCACGCCCACCCGACCAGCCAATGGTCCAGGATGAAATTTTCTGAGAGCAGCAGCGAAAGGGAAGGGAAACGGCTTCTCTCGTTACAGGCCGTTCCGACGATCAACTAGCTCAAGTGTGTTTTCGCACTATGGGGGTTGCTGAAGTTGAATCTGCAACTAGATAAGTTGATGGATGGCTCCACTTGCGAACTGTCCAGTGCGCAAAGCACGGTCAACGAGGGGGAATTGGCCATAGCTTTCAGCAGAGCTCGCCCTTTTCTTCCAGCGCCTGGTGGGATGGGAAAAAGAAAGGATTGTGATCGCAGCGCGCTTAATGGTCGGCTAGTGCTTCGCCTGCGACATCATGAAGGGCCTAGATCAGGCGGGTCAACGGGAGCTCCGCTCGCTAAAGAGCAGATCGCGATTCCGTCTCCACCGAGATTTGATGGGCGTGGGTTGCCAATCCTCGTCGTGAGGCACGGAGCCGAGACAAGAATTGTGGCTCAGTTGGAGAGGTGTTCGGGATGTCTCCTCGGTCGATCATAGAGGGCCAAGATAAGGGTGCTCTTTTGACTCGTAAGGCATACGCAATTTCAGCGCAATCTAATTTGAATGATTCCTCAGCAAGATTCTCCGCTGCAAGAACAATTAGAGTAGAAAGGCTCGAATACGCCGGAAGATATCGGAAGTCAACCGAACACCCCGCGGCTCGGAACCCAAAACAAACGGAAAAGGAAAGGTGCGAGTCTCCGCATTCAACTGGGTTAGCGCGGGACGAGAGCGGCTATTCTCCACTCAATTAAGTTTCCCGCGGAGGATAATACTAGTGCGAACCCACTTGGCTGTATTGACCGGCTTACAAGCGGTATTGTTGTCCGAATTTCTCTGTATCTTCAAATCAAGGGATTTGGCTCAGGGTATGTGAAGAGACATTCTATCATGCCAATACTACACACCTACCAACTGAGTGGTGAAGGGCTTTCCAAGCAGCAGAATCAGGATACCCAATGATGGGTCTGGATACTCCAGGCTGGTGAGCTCCATAGTTGAAAGAGCTCTGGTCGCTCCGGGGCAACTTTGACAAGATATGCATGTCTATCAACAATCAAACTATAAAAAAAGCGGACTGCGTGGCCCACGCACAACAAGCCAAGGTGGCAGTTCCTCAATAACTTACCCACCACATATCATCAACGCGACTGGAGAGCGTTCTGTTTTTAGATCCGGCAAGCACTTTTTGGCTTCATGCTCTGTTCCTGCATTGGGATCAGACACGATGGCCCATTCAGGAACCAGCCAGCGCTCCGTCAGCGCTCAGCCAGAGCTCAGCTTGGACTCGGGACGTTGTATCGTTGGCTCATCGTGACGGCCAGGCGGCGGATTGTCACACCGTTGATGTTGGAGCTTTCGTGCACTAACGGTTGAAAGCCTTCCCTGATTGATTCTCGATTTCATAACCCGCGCGGGAAGGGGATTCGAGATTTGACGGGAGTCCGGTTTCTTCTCGAGTCGTGTCTGGACCCTGACGTGTGATCCTACCGAGCCATGTGGGAGTCCTCCAACGTTCAATCGGTGACATCTCGAAAATCGAAAGATACTTTAAAATCTCCGGGTTCATTCGCAACGTCTCACCACTGAAGAAGCTAAAAAGACGGAGAATGCAACGTCGAATAATTGCCGAGATTATTAGCTGACAAAAGAACGAGGCCTCATGGGCCTCACGTTGAAACTGCTCACCCTTTCGGCCAACTGGCTCTGTTTCTCCCTAAAAAAAGCAATTCTTCAGGCCCGGAAGTACTATCCGAACCGTGCTGAAAAGATAATAATAAGCCCGCTTAGGGTAAGATAGCAATTTGGCTCTTATCATCAGCTTCGAGGGTGCGCAGGCGACCGCTTGGTAAGCGATTACGAAGCTTGCGGCAGGGTGACAATATGCACAGTTCTCTTATCCATTAAATAAAGGGGGCTCTTTAGCGCGAAAAACTGTTGAAAAGAAACTTCATGCTGCAATTTTCTCTCTTCTCTGTTTGTGCTGAGCTTCTTTTGCGTGGCCTGCAGCAGATCATCACTCTTTGACTCTCGATAAATGTTTCAGCTACGGTATGAGACAAGAATGGGCGGTGTTGATATTCCTAAACTCTCTGGCTGTCCCCTTGCGATTGACGAGTCGGTGAGGTAACGTCCGTTATCAAAAGAAACCGCCCTTCTCCCCGCTTGTCTTGACACGGACCAAGTGTACGGCCATCAGCTTTACAATTGCCTTGAGCCATTTGACCCTCAAATTTAACCGTCCACGCATACTAGCTCACGATGGACATGCAGAATCATCTTGTCGACCGAAACAATTGCGACATGCAATTAATTATGATCCTTTACCAGGGCCGGCCTCCATTCCCCCCTGACGTGAACCGTCATGAACCTGACAGGGATATTGCATTCTGCAGGAAGGCACACCTACACAGTCGCTTGACTTTTTGAGACCCCTCTTCGGCATGAACCGAATGACGTGGACCGTGCGAGGTGGGTGAACATGGGCGACTCAGCAAGACAGCAACCAGGAAATACTGGAAGAGGGGATAAAAATATCCCGTTGTCTCGGCGCGCAAAAGAGGGTGTGAAGAAGTCGAAAAGTAAGAATGCGGGGAAGAGTTTGGGGTGACGGGGTGTTCCAGTCCGGACTCTCTTGCCTTGACACTGGGGCCCACGTCTTGTGAGCCGCGGATCTTGTATTGACTGCACCGTTTCCCGTCATATCATCCTGAAGCTGCTTCAGCTTAAGCGATGTTTTCAAACATGCGAAAATCGAAGGCCCGAGCGTCGGTGGGATGGCTTCCGCTTTTGCGTCAGGCATGGCCGAAGAATCCAGTCGGGTGAGCTCCTACTGGCCAGCTGACCGCCTTCTTATTTTTTTTTCCAGGGCAACACGCTGCACACCTCGTTGAAAGTGGAGTACAATCCAGACTTACCAGCTATAAGTCGGGCTCCAAATGCGAAATCTCAACCCCCGCGGCGTCCACAGCTAGCCAGTACGCAGTGTTATCCAAGTAGCGAGCGTTGGGACTGGCACACTCCGCATCGTGTATTCGGATAGAGAATCTGGAACGAAGATCTTCAAGGACAAATCCTGGTTCTCCCATCGCTAAATTCACCCACATGCAAGCATTATGGCGCATAATATGCTGGGAAGAGCACCGCAGAGCTTTCAACCCGGTTGGGGCATGGTAGGTGAGGGCCGGGGTAGCAGGTTGCGAGCACGCAGGTAATTTGTTATGGTGGTCTGTAGTGGTAGTAGTAGTAAAAGTTCCTTGGAATAATAGTTCGATGGTTTGCGCATCTCCAGTGGCGGCTTCCGTCATCAGATCGCATCCAGGCCAACGTATCTCATGATGCAAAGGGTCCTCCGGGAGCTGTAAACCATCACGCATCGACCCTCTCCGCAAGTCCGTGTCGCTCACCATCCTTCTCACCGACGATGTAGCGCAAGACTGGGATTCTTGATGCTGGAGGTCGACGATCGTCTCTTGGCAGTCACATGATTGCTAGAATCACGTGCCTATTTGCAAGGGAGAGCTGGATAAACTATGCCTATTTGGGAATAAGCCATGATTTCGGACTGACGAGAAGATGGAGGTGCATCTGTATTACAACCACGGCGAGGAGGAGGAGAAGAAGAAGAAGACGAAGAAGAGCGGAGACGTCAGAGCGCATCGAAAACATCCGCCTAAACACCACGGCGGTGAATCTGTTGCACGTGCTGAGAAATGGGTTCAATCGAGGAACCCAGGGGCAGTCAAGACGAGGTGACTATCTTGGTGACCGGCACGAATGGGTGCGTGCGTGCGTTCCCGCTGACTTGCATACCGCCAGCAAAGCTGACCACTGTTATAGCGGCCTAGGGCTTTCCACATGTCGTCGATTAATCGATGAATTCCTCCGTACACGACCTAAGAACCAGTCGTTGACTTTGATATTTACCACCAGAAGCACCCGGAAGAGCAATGAGACTTTAGCCAAGCTGCAAAAACATCTCCGTTCTGCCTCGCGCGATGACTTGGATAGAATTACCCTTAAACCGGAGCATGTGGACCTTTGCGATCTGCATTCTGTCCGGGCGCTGTCACGACGACTTCTCGCATCCCTTCCGAAACTCGATGCTCTCGTGCTGAATGCTGGAATCGCTGGATTCACGGGCTTGAATTGGTTTCGCGCAGTTTACATGATACTCACTGATCTGGTGCATGCGGTGACATATCCATCGTCCTACTGTTTGAGTAATACGGGGACGTTGGTGAAAAAGCAGACTCAGTTAGCTGACGAGCCTCCGCTGGGCCAGCTGTTCTGTGCAAATGTCTTTGGCCATTACATGCTCAGTCATAATCTAGTACCCCTACTCGAGAAATCCAATATTCCAGGGCGGATTATCTGGACATCAAGCGTGGAGGCGACCAGGGAAGTCTTCAATGTTTCGGATATCCAAGCGCTCAAGACTCGTCGAGCCTACGAGTCTGTGAAATATCTGATGGCTCTCCTCGCACTTACGTCGTCACTACCTAGCACCTCTCCCTGGGTCGACTCTTTCCTCTCTTCGAACAATAACCACGTCAATGGTCAGAAATCCTCGCTTCAGAATGGCAGCTCAACCTCTACTAAACCGAACATCTACGTCTGTCACCCAGCGGTCTGCGCGACTTCCATTGTGCCACTCGCCCTCCCACTCTACTACGCCATGCTCTCTGTATGCTGGGTTGCCAGGCTCCTCGGGTCCCCCTGGCATGTTTTGTCCTCATACCGCGGCGCCGCCGCCTCGGTCTGGCTGTGTCTCTCTCCGCAATCGGTGATTGACACTGCAGAAGCTGCATATACTGCCCTTGGCGGAGGCAAAGTAAAATGGGGAGCATCATGTGATCGATGGGGAAGAGAGAGCGTCGTGTGCACAGAAGTAGAAGGGTGGGGGTATGGTGGTGTCGTTGGCCCGCCGCAATTGGACGGCGATCGCGCGCGGAGGCGGAAAAGGGGAGCGACAGATTTGACAGCAGATGAGAGGGTGGAGTTTGAAGAGATGGGCAGGAAGTGTTGGAGGGAGATGGAGGAATTGAGAGTCAAATGGGATGAGTTACTGGACAGAGCAGAAGAGATGAGGGACAAGGCCTGAGGTGGAGGAAGTATAGCTCGCGTCCATCATCGCCCAGCACTTTCGGGTACCCAGGTCAAGAAGCCTGAGGTGAGAATCTAGACCTGTACTATATCATATACACTTCTCTTTTCGAAGCATTTCTTTTAGGATAATTAATTTAATTTTCGAACCTCAAAAGACTCCCTACCAGCAAGCTAGACATTTTACTTTTTTTTCAAGCTGAGGCTGTATGACAAGAGGAACTGGGCAAATGTTGGGAGAAACTCCTGAAATTGCTACTGACTGTCTGGTAATATCTCTCAGACAGCTTTTGCATATAACAGGTGGTGCTTGTAAAAACCATGGAACCACGTAATTATTCCATGGGTTAAATGAAAAATAGAAAGCTCAAGAGTTGAATAGGCAAATCCTTTTTTTTTTTTTGAAACAGAGTGATGGGGCATAGGGAAGTAATAAACTTCAAAATTGGTAGCATCTCCATCCATGAAACAAAGCAGAGGCAAACCATAAAGTGCAAATAATTAGAACTGGACTCATGAAGTGAAGAGATGGGAAGAAAATCAGCAGAGAAGAGAGCAATCCGCTCGGATAAACAAACGTATAAGAGAAAACGGTCCGCAAGATGAAAAGGAAGTAACGGCATGTACAATATGAATATGATGAAAATTGCTTGAAAAAAAAAATCATTCAAAGAAGTGAGAATCCGTGGAATACGAAAGTATGCTCGAGGCAAACACAAACACCTTCCCCGCTCTATTCCCTCGGTTTTGGTTTCTCCCAGAGCCTTGCTTTCATCAAATTATATTGGTTAGTAATTGGAATTCCAGAGAACGATTAATTGAGTCGAAGAAGCAAGATGAGGAGCGTAAATTCGGATAATTTGCGGATTTACATGATGATAGCGGGAACTGAATGCGGGTTAGTAGAGTACTTCAATGTACACGAGATGTAACGGGATTCAAGGGACATACCATCAATGTTCTGTTTGATGCTCTTGTGAGGAAGAATGGAACCACCGTTGACATAAACTTCGTCTCCAATAGTCACATCGTCACCGAGAACAGTGACGTTTTCTAATCGAGCCCACTTGCCAACCGAGCTGTTCCAGCCGATGATGCTAGATTTCACCCAGGCGTGGTCCTTGACTTTGCTGTTTTCCAGCAAGACGCATCGTTGCAATCGGACACCATCACCAACAACGACGTTAGGTCCAATGGTCACATTGGGTCCGATGCGGCAGTTTTTGCCAATCTTAGCAGTGGGATCAACCATGACGTTTCCGCCATGGACATATGGAGCAGTAGAGGGTGACAAGAGCTTGGAGTCCCGTTTTGTGAGCGAGGAGAGGTAGAGGCATGTGCCGGTCAAGAAATCCTTGGGCTGGCCAACATCCATCCAGAAGCCTTCGAGATCAAAAGAGTGGAGTTGGCCGTCCTTGCAGATAGCAGGGAAAGTCTCTTGTTCGATTGAGGTGGGGCGAAGTTCGATGCGGTTCAGGACGCTGGGGTTGAGGATGTAGATACCGGCGTTGATGCGGTTGCCAACGAATTCAACTGGCTTCTCAACAAATCGGTCGATTCGGGATGGGTGGTTTGGCTTATGGACGACGACACCGTATTTCGAGGGTTCCTCAACCTTTGTGACCACAATTGTACCTTCATTCCCATGCTTCTTGTGAAACTCAGCAAGTTCTTGGAACGGATACTCGCAAATAACGTCGGAATTGAGGACGAAGAAAGGGCTGTCGTCCTTCCCGAGGATATTCTCTGCAAGTTTCAAAGGGCCGGCAGTGCCCAGGGGTTCCGATTCAACCGAGAATTCGATTTTAACGTTGTATTCTTCTTCGTACTGCAAAACGAAAGTGATCAATGAGCGATTTGTCCGCTCGACAACATACTGAAGGCGATTCTTACCTTTTTCAGCGTAGATACCATGATATCGGGCCGATAGTTGACAGCGAGGACAATGTCCGTCACTCCCGCGGCCGCCAAGCTCTCAACTTGGTGGAGGATCATAGGGCGGTTACCAAATTCGACCAAGGGCTTGGGAAGCGTGAGAGTCTACGGTGCAGTAATCAGTGGACTGCTCCTTTCCGCCGCTTACGGCTGCTCAGGGTCAACAGGGTGGGCTCACCAATGGTCGTAGACGGGTACCGAAACCCCCGACGAGAATGAGAGCTGCATTGTCGCAAAGTCATTAGCTGAGAATATTTTCCGATAAAATTTACCAGGCTGCGTACCCTTCATGGTAGCGGATGTTGTGCGATCGAGTTTCCAAGGTTGGTTGAGGGTCGAGGAAGTGCTGGCGACGTGAGTCTGTTGTCGTGGAAGAGTCGGTGAAGGTGGAAAACGGCGAGGGAGCTAGTTAACGAGTGTAGACTTGGACAGATATGCCGGTTCGAAGCAGGATGTTGCTATGCGAGATCCGGGGCCACGATATGCTAGACAGGAGTATGATGGTGTTTAGTGATTGCAGGTCAAGAGGGAGAACAATCGAAAGTTGTCTCGAGGAGAATTAAAATCACGGAGCGAAGAAGTGGTGCGAAGGTCAGGCTGCGGCAGGATTAAGGGGAAGAGAAGCGTGCGGTCAGGTGGGCGAGGAAGGGGAAATAGGGAGCTTCGGGGAGGGACCGGGGGGCGTGGTTGGTGGGCACAATGCCGGTTCTTATTGGGGCTCGCACGGGGGCTTTAGGGGCGGCCTTTTAACTAAACAAACCTAATTAAACAGAAATCTCCCATTGAGTGGACACTGGGCGACGGGGCCCAGGCCTTAATTGCTCACTACTTGGCTTGGTACCTCGACTCCCGCTGCCTTGCCACCCAACTGCAGGTCACTCGCCAACGCGTTCTTCCCTGAAGCTTCGACGCTTCTCGGCAATTTAAAGTCAACCCTAACAGAATCCAGATCCAACAACTGACATCCGACCCATGGAAGCTCGTGCTCGTGACGGGCGTGCTCCTCAAAAGGAAACTTTGCCATTGTCTTGTTCTATTTATGATTCCTTTGTCTGAGACACATCCCGTTGGGAGCTCTTTTTCTTGTGGAGTTACTGATGGATCATCTGATTCCGCACGATCGGCAAGCAGCTGAATGATTTGATGAAGGCCGATGGACCCATTTCTTCCGCAGAGATCGAAATGCAACCGTATAATAAATTGGCCCGGCAAGCCACGTCACCACGAGAAGAGCACTCTTCCAGTGACTTATCATCATCAGATCAGGGTGTCGTGGCAGAATGACATCTCACGAAGGAGCAGGTCTTTCTAACGAAATATGCGACATTGAAAAGGCCCGCGTACCGCATTCTTTACGACAGATCACGTCTAAAACGGGTCAAAATGGAGCAGGATAGGGTTGCAATGAATGGAAACGATGAGTTTGGGGTATCAATTGTTTTTACATGACCCGGCTGACCGTGGTATATCCGCTACTGCGCAGTATTATTGACTATCTGGTGGAAGCAGCATGGTTCCTGCTGGCCTCGGGATCAACAGAGAGCCGTTCGCATTCTCGTTGGAAGCCGCTCCAGGAGTGACAAAATTTCGAATCCACCGTCTGACCCTACGTACCTTCATGGCCTGGGGGTGAGATCTCTTCGCTTCTCCTAGACCGCCAGCCGTGCTCTCATCGATGCCCGTCGACGAGATAATCTCGCGATCCAAAACATCAATCTTGGTCATGTTTTGGCGTAAACTCTGCCCGTATACTTGCCCACGAAAAGAGGCCAGAGCTATGGAACGCAGGAGAATAACGTCGCGCAGCTGCAGGGCTTTCAAAGACTCTTCAAGCGACTTTGAGGGCACGACCATAGCATGCTCATTCGACGGTGGTACCCAGCAACTCACGCGAAACCCAGATTTTGTTTCGTCCCCGACCAATAATTCCACGACATCCATTTCACGGCCCCAGCGCGTTCGAACACGGCGTCGAGGAGGTATGCTGATGATGGCAACAATCAGGTTCACGAGCACGGTCCGTGGGGCTACCGACTGCAGATACGTTGCGCTGGGAATATCTTCGACATCGCTCAAGTGGCCCTGAACACGCTGTACGTCGGGGGATGTTCCGTCATGCTGAGATAAAGGCAATTTCGACGTCGAATCATCATGGCTTTCATCACCGAAACTCCCAGTAAGGTCTGAATCATCCGTAAATGACTTGGTGGCGCTAGTGAAGGAACGGTGGATTCCTTCGTGCAAAGCGAACGACTGATCGTAGAATTCGGACAATGCAGTTTCATCTGCGTCCAGGCTCACTGGCTCACCGCTGTATCTTTGAATTGTGTCCATTGCAAAGAACGATGCCCCTTCCGTCGTAGACTTGAAAACGGGAGCTTGCACCGGTGCCAGCGATCTCCATCGCACCAGGGAACCCCGTTCCTCTGACGGCCTGCGTTGGTAAAACGGCGGCAATGGCGGCTGGAGGAGCTCCGATTCATCCCAGTTGAGAGCACTTCGCGGCGGAAGCCCGGTCAAGACAATCAGCTTGTGCGCCATATTGCTGTGCACAGTCTGCACACCAGAGGCGGGACTGGCAAGGAGACTTCGAAGCACTGCGGCATTAGAGATGAGACAAAAGCAGCCTGTTTAGTCGTCCATGGTCACTTTCCAACGTACATGCCCCTACAATATCAAAGCGACGCTGCCCGTCCTCGCGGCGCTTGGGGAGAATAGGTTGAAATGGGACCAAAGCGCAATGATGGTGACTAAGCAGCGGTGGCAATTGGCTTTGTCATGATTCGCCGCCTTCGGGCGTTCTTTTCAATCGTTCAACGAAGCCGAGCTGCTGAACTGCTCGACGAGCGACAATGGACACTGGAAGTTCTACCTGTTGGCAGGTCTATGTTGTGATTGATTAATCGATCTTTGTTTGGCCCGATACTGTTGTTGACAAGAGCCCTTACACTCGTCCAGCCGTGAGGCTCCTCCGGCCATGGCTTTCCAGACACCTGTCTCCCTTCCCGTAAGCTTCTTCATTGAGGTCGTTGCTGATGCTTTGTTGTTACGATACTGACAGATTTCTGGGAATCAATAGAATGTTGCAAGTGTAACGTCTGAGTTATGGCCATCCGTGTCAAATGCGGTCTCTGCCCCGTGGAGATGTCTTGTCCGCCCGTCCTCGCCCCGCTCGCCTCGCGCTCAGAATCATCGCGAATCGGATAGCACGTTCCATAATGAGAGATCTAGTGATGTACGTGGTATATATCCATTCGGTCTCTGTCGCAAGCCCACTCACAATCGGTTTCAGGCCCGTTCTCGTTCGTCCCTCGTCGAATCCCTTGGGAGGATTCCCGTCGATACGTTGAGACTGGCGGCGGAGCAAAATTTAGCTATACGTCAAGTATCATCGTCCAATTTGCTATCCCAAGGTATGTAGGTTCAATAGTATACACAACTTTTTCTAACGTCTTTTGAGCAGTAACTCCCAGGCGCATGTGGACTGTTCAAGCCTTTGCCAATCCTCGCAACCCAACTTCGACACGTCACTATTCCACACTCTCCAGCTTTCAGCTGAATAGACCAAGTCCCATTCCAAAGTTGAAAGATTTCTCACGGTCGCAGCAACAAAGATTCCTGTTCGGTGGCCCTTCTCAAAACACACTTCGGTACATCGAACAAAATGCGAACAATAATCCGACAAGTGCAGTGTCTCAAAACGCTTTCTATTCTGCGCTGCTTCGAGCCAAGATGCCAGCCATATTGATCGAACGTTATCAGAGTGGAAGTTTTGCCAGCAATGCTCAGTCTGCTCAACTTTATATGAAAGCCCTGCAGCAAATGGGTGCGCCATCAGGCGCCGTGCAAGGGCAAAGCCAGGTTACCTCTCACGAAAACTTGAATCCCGACCAAGTGCAAGCCATCGGACAGGCTGTTGCTGCGCGAACGCATGGAGGCCAAGTTGGAATGGCCACCAAACCCAACGGGACTGGGGCGAAAGATGCACCAATTTATGTTGTGGTAGAAGAGTCAACAGGAAGTCAGGTTTTTAGATGGATCAAGTTCTTCCTCTATTTTGGCTTCATTTGCTACTTCTCCCTGGTAATGGTCAGCTTCCTGGTCGAGACAACGGGTATTTTGAAGAACGTTCGTGGAACTCAAAACAACCAAGCTCAGCCACAACACCAAAAGGTTCGATTTAGTGATGTGCATGGGTGTGACGAAGCCAAGGATGAGTTGCAAGAGCTGGTTGAATTCTTGTCAAATCCTGAGCGCTTTTCTTCTCTTGGCGGCAAGCTTCCAAAAGGTGTCTTGCTCGTTGGTCCTCCTGGAACAGGTAAAACGTTACTTGCCCGCGCCGTTGCCGGCGAAGCCGGCGTTCCATTCTTCTATATGTCTGGATCTGAATTCGATGAGATTTATGTTGGTGTTGGTGCCAAACGTGTTCGCGAGCTATTCAATCAAGCTCGAGGCAAGGCTCCTGCCATCATCTTTATCGACGAACTGGATGCTATCGGCGCGAAGAGGAACGAAAGGGATGCCGCTTATGTTAAGCAAACGCTGAACCAGCTGCTGACCGAGCTTGATGGTTTCTCTCAAAGCAGCGGCGTCATTATCTTAGCAGCCACTAACTATCCCCAACTACTCGACAAGGCGCTTACACGACCTGGGCGATTTGATCGTAAGGTTGTGGTCGGTCTCCCAGATGTTCGAGGTCGCGTTGATATTTTGAAGCATCACATGAAGAACGTGCAGATTAGCACAGACGTCGATGCCGCCGTCATCGCTCGTGGGACTTCTGGGTTCTCAGGTGCAGATTTGGAGAATCTTGTCAACCAGGCTGCTGTTCATGCTAGCAGGCATAAGAAACAGAAAGTTGGCCCCCTAGACTTTGACTGGGCTAAGGACAAGATCATCATGGGAGCGGAAGCTCGCAGCAGAGTTCTGAGAGATGAAGAGAAGCTTTTGACTGCTTACCACGAGGCGGGCCATGCGTTGGTTGCGTACTTTAACCCAGCAGCCATGCCGTTATACAAGATCACTATAGTGCCCAGAGGAATGTCCCTAGGTGTCACTCATTTTCTTCCGGAGATGGACATTTATTCAAAGAACTACACCGAGTACCTTGCCGATATCGATGTTTCCATGGGTGGTAAGGCCGCTGAAGAGCTTGTGTTTGGACCCGAGAATGTTACTAGTGGAAGTGCAGCAGTAAGCTTCATCTTTCTTTTCGCGAACTGACTTGTGCTGACATAATTCTGCCCAGGATCTTCGAAACGCTACCGAAACCGCCTTCTCGATGGTAACGCAGATGGGTTATTCGAAGAAGCTTGGAAATGTCGACCTCAGCTTTAATTATGATGCCTTATCATCCGAAACAAAACAGGAAATTGAAGCCGAAGTTCGACGCATCGTGGACGAAGCTAGCAGCCGCGCAAAGGTCATTCTAAAAGAGCGCCGAAAAGAGCTTGAACTGGTCTCCAAAGCTCTCTTGGAGTACGAGACCCTGACTAAGGAGGAGATGGAAAAAGTAATACGCGGAGAGAAATTGGACAAGCTTGAGGCATCGCCAAAAGCACCGATAATCCTTCCCGAAGGGTTGATCACACCAGGATTGAGCCCGCCTGCGGGGGAGAAGGCTGCGTCAAAATAGAATGGCCTTTTCTTTTGGTGCTTCGGCCTCTGTTGCACAGCATCTGTTTCTTTAGCATCCATCGTCTCCCAACTCACTGATTGCATCCTTACTCCTTCACTTTTCCTTTTCTCCCCAATTTGAGTCAATCCATTGGTTCTTGAAGGGAGTGAATAGCCCCGGCAATATAACCAGTGTTTTCCGATGCTAACCCTCGTCGAGGTCTGGTCGAGATTCACGCTTAGTTTCCTACCACTCTTGGGACAAACCGTGCCAATCTCTAGCGGATTCGACGCGGTTTTTCGTGATCGAACACTTACTCTCGATTTCTACTTGAAAGGAAAAAGCCGTCAACGCAATAGAATAGTATGAGATATCCATACGGAATTTTTATTTTTTTTTTATTTTTTCTTAATTTGTTTTTCGGCTAAATTTGAAGGTCGCTCCCGTGCTTTACCGTTTTGCATAGCCATTCTGTGCTTTTTGTACTTCTAGGCTTAGGTTTTGTTTTTTTCCCTCTGCATACGTGCATAAGGAGCAATGGCATGTGTCCACTTTGAATCTTCTCGTACATATGCCCGCGCTGACCATGATATCTTTGCGCTTCTTCTTCTTCTTCTTGTACCATGACTACAGGTCACATTGTACCTTATGCAGTGACCTTGAATCACGTTTGTCTCAAACAGCCGTTCCTCATCCCAATGCGCAGCATCTATGACCAACGTCTACGCACACATACCTACCTGCCTACTCCATCCATGCTCACATATTGCTCACAAACTATCCCTCCCTCATACCCAGCAACTTATCTCTTGCCAAACCTGCAAGCAGATCAACACGTCTAGACATCCCGGGCCATGCATGCAACACATGAGGTATGTCATGCATGAACAGCGGGCTTTTTCAAACATGCAGAACACAACAGGCAACGGTGGAGTGCCCTGCTTTTGGGTTCATGCATGTATGTCTTTCTTGCTTTTTTCTTTTTTTTTTCCTTTTCCCTTTTCTCCGTGGGCGGTTTGTAAAGGGGCATTGGGGCGTGCGTGTATGTATGGGGGGGGGATCTTACCTTTTGCCCTTTTTTGATGTTTGCGAGGTCTGTGCGTGATGGGTATCAGTTGGCTTATTCTATTGAATGGAAGTATAGATTACATATCTTGGGGTCTTTGTATGGGACAGTATACCCTGGGGCTGGGTTCTTGTGAAGATAAACAGAATGTCAGGTTTCCCGACATCGAGTACTCCGTAGGAAACAGAAATCGAACCTCTTTTCGCATTCTCTCGAAGCATAGCCGCCTTCAGTATCTGACATATCAGGTGAGCTGGTTGATAGCTCATATTTACATTTGAGAAAGGAACCGGGAGAAATCCTCCTGCATCAGCTATGCCCCAGACAAGAGTCAGATACCCAAGAAACTCCCGCGTGTGACGGGAAGGTGAGCAACTCTGCTAGGCTTGGGGAAGAAAATGTGGAGACATTCAAGGGCTTGGGAGGGGGGTGTATGTGGAGGGAGAAACGCCCGTGCAAGGAGCGAGGGATGTCGCAAAATTGAGTCCTTCTCAGCTTTGCAGCAGAATCAACTGAGGAAAAGGCTGCCGTCAAGCAACGTCTAGATCGCCAGGCTGCGAGGGGTGGATGGGGCTGCGGACTCTCGAATTATCTTGATATCTGAGTGGTTGCTTCAAGCGCCTCCAACGCCGCAAATTCCCGAGATATAATCGTCAACGATTCCTGAAGAACAATTTGCTGCCTCATTGAACCATGTCATCTAGTATTTTCTTGGGGCGTCGCAACCTCCCTCAACTAACAGTCTAGATCAAGTCCATGCGCACAAAAAAGATCTGCTGGCCTTCACGCAAATCATTAACTGGTCCGTTTCAATATCAGAGTTCCACCAGGACAAGCACGCCCGGCAGATTGAACTAGAAAACGCAAGTCAGAGCACGCACAGCCTAGCGCGCGGGGGATGGGCGCACCACTTCCCCATGCTAGACGCTTAACGGGCGGCTGCACCACTGAGCAATCCGGCCTGTTCTTGTTTTTTTTTGTGTGTAGCTAGGGCTATACAAGGAAAGAGTGAAAGAAGACATGGGGCCGTCATAGCGTGTGTAGATCGTGATTTTCCTAGCCTTTCGGAGGGAAAACGGCTGTTGAAATTTGGGGGATGGATGTCTGTAAAAGCAAAATGGCATGCATCTGCATCTAACCTGGAAGAAAACATGAATACGTGCATAGGCTGGGGTTACACCCGCACCCTTCTCTGACTATGGGGTTTCTGCTGCAAATGGCTCGGGTCCGAACCAGGGGAAGTATGAGAGTCTCCGTATACGAACATCACTAGGGTCTAGAGACGAAACTGGACATGTCATAGCAAGATTGCAATTATTGCATATCTCGGGCAGGATGACGAAGGGACTAGAAACTCGAGAGGGTAAATTTATCTGGGATTGGTTTTGTGAGCACGGCTCTCCCGAGATCAAGGGGGACAGCCCCCCGTGGCGTGAGGGTTGCATGGCGCTGCAACAGCAAAAAACAGAGACGATTCCGCGTGCCTCAATTAAAAGTCGACTGTGGAACCTCAAGACAGTGGAGGGGTATATGCAGCAGAGATGGAAATGTCACTTGTCATTAATAAAAAACCCAAAATGGCCGGCGAGCGAATAAAAAACCCAGATGAAAGAAAGGGAGAAAAAGAAAAGATAGTCTGGTGCTCCGTTATCATGCTTGATTAGTCCAAAAAGAACGATCAAAATACCAACCCCAAAAATCCCATAACATGTTGTAACTTTTCATTTGAAGAAAAATATCAGGCATTTTTTTCTTCCCAAAACCATCACAACCGTTGTCAAGCAAGACCAGCTGAAGCGGAATGATTGGATGCATAGAAACGGAGACATCAGGCGCCTGTTGCCACTAAAATCTATCGATTTGGATCAAGGTTCTTGGCTCAACTTTCACATAACGTACAAAATCGTTCATATCCGAGGGTATCCGTGTTCGAGTCGTCGATGTGAGTTCAAAGATGCAATCGGGTTCCTTACATCTGAAAGAGGGACGAGAGGTGGAGGAGGGAACCCGTTGTGGAGCAGTGACAGGGCAAAAGTATGCGGGACGGAATCCCCGCAGACGTTGAGTTTCTGCGGTGGCTGGATCGATATGTTATTGTCAAGAAGAAGACGAGGATTTTTTTTTGCAGTCCCCTGGCGAAAACGTGAGCATAGGCCTCAGAATCGAAAAACGAACCATTTAACGGGAAGGGAAAATAAGCAAAGGTCATTGCGGGATAGGTGACATCGAGGGTAGATAACGAAGGAGGGGTTTCTAGTACCACAGTCATCCGGCCGTGTTTCCCTAAGTCGCAAATATCAGTTAGGATAGACCTTTTTGAGGGAGAAGAGGCCCATACCGTCCAACCACGTTTGGCGAACATCTCTGCTGCGTTTGCTGATACTTGATACACCATGCCTTCACAAGAAAACGAACATGGCCGCATTTGTACTCGACTTCGGTGTAGTCGCACATTTTCGCCACTTCAATCTTGAGTATCAACGGTTGATAAAAGGGGTCGAGTCAAGTTTTGAAGGTAAGCAAGGGGGTTGTATCATTCTTGTAGGTTGAAAATCCAGACCTTTTTCAAGTCCAGGGAGGCGGATGAGGCAATTGCAAAGTAATAAATCATTCGCCATGCGAGGTGTGCTGTTTCGTGTACAAAAAAAGTCTCTATATATGTATGTACCTCCAAGCACGTAGCTGACGTTCCCATCCATCAAGAAAATAAGGGTCGGTAGGCTCGTCAAGCCTGTGCACTGACCGGGATAGGAGTTGCCTCATGTTATCTAAAATTGAGTCTCCGGCATTGTGGGAAATAGGGCCAAGTAGATCTATAGTTAGCATGGATAATATTCTTCTCAGCGTAGACCGAAGCATCCATTTCCGGCATCCACGGCACAATTCCACTCCAGTCGGAACTGGCTCGATCTTCCAGTTGGACAACGGAGCTGAGGCCCAAATGGCGCAATTCCCGGGTAAATAAGACCGTGTATATTGTCCCGGATAACATCATTCGCGCATGGCCAGGTCACAGTGGAATGCTTGATCAACGGAGGATCGTGGCAATTAAAATAACTTTGGCCTTGGGGCTCCAGGGTCCCTGGAGCCAATGGTGATGTGCTCGGGAAATAATCCCTAGTCCCGGTCGAAAGCTGCCAGTGAGACTTGTATGCTCCGGAATTCCTTGCTCTGCTGGGATCAAGATAACTCCGCATCTGCCACGACGTCTTCGAAGCCGGTGAAAAGGACAAGATGCTGCTGGAGATGCTCTGTCTGGTTTGAAACTGGGAGGGAGCTTCCTGCACTAGGCCAGTTGAAAACTTCCTAATGCCCGTCTCCCCACTGTCAATGTGGCCAATGTCAACTGCATTTTGTCGATTCGGAGTTCCACTCACCCACTCACCGTGAGACAAATCATGGAAAGCTGCGTCAAAGGGCACTGTGGTGAGCAAGTTTGGACAGCGGGATGGCCTTACCAATATTCAGACCAGGGCTTCCATTTGGAATCCAAAACTTAACAGGTACATTGGGAAGAAAGAAAAGGGATTATACAGAAACAGGGAATCAGTGATTGAACAGTGCAGCGCCACAGCATGATGGCGATCCAGCCATTGCTCAACTCCAAATCAGAAAAAGAAAGACAAAAGCCAGGATTAGTTAGTCAGTTAGGCATGCCATGCAAAATTACAGGGCTCCAACACCATAGACCACGAACAATGCTCTCAAAAAAAAAAAATCTATACAGGAGAAGACATATTTAAAACAAAAATGGTATCCAAAAGGCCTGCTTGATCCAATGATAAGATAAACTGAGTCGCTAACCGTGAAATATCCCTTATCTAGGAATATCAGATTGCATTGATTTCTTCAGTCTCAAGCCACCCCTGAGACATCTTGACGGCTTTCGACCACTGGCGGTACATTCTGGCGCTCTCTGCCTCGGTGATTTGCGCTTCGAATACGGTCCTGTTTGATTTATTCATCCCCTCTAGCTCGTCGAGGTCACGCCACACGCCAACGGCAAGCCCTGCTGCAATGGCTGCGCCTAATGCGGTGACCTCGCTCATGGGCGGCCGTTCGACAGGGATACGGATTATATTTGCTTGGGACTAAGGATGACATACATTAGTTGCCGCAGTTAGTGAACGGGATGGGCGTCACGCACCTGCATGCAGATGTCCGAGTTACTCAGTCCTCCATCAACCGCCAAGTCAGAAAGCTTCTGGCCACTGTCGCGTTCCATAGCCTCCAGGATGGCTTTTGTTTGGAAACAAACGGCTTCAAGTGTTGCCCGGGTTATATGGCCTTTCTGAGTGTGATGTGTTATCCCAACTTCGAACATGTCAGCCAGTTCAGCACCCAAAACCGCGCATCAATCAATCGAGCATATACACGTACATATTGTTCCTTTTGCGTCATCAACCCAATACGGCGCGAAGAGGCCACTGAAGGCGGTGACAAAGATACAGCCGCCATTATCTGGTACGGTGGCTGCTTCCTCGTCGACCTTTCTCGAGTCACGGAAGAAATCCAGGTTGTTCATCAAGAACGAGACGCCGCTGCCAGCAACGGCGACGCTTCCCTCCAACGCATATACTGGCTTTTGGTCGGCGCTCAATTGGAAAGCGACAGTTGCCAGGAGCCCATGTTTCGAGATCACGGGCGTTTCACCTACATTATACAGCAGAAAACATCCCGTTCCATAGGTGTTTTTTGCTCTGCCTGGAGTCAATGCACCATGGCCCACCAACGAAGCCGATTGATCACCAAGGCAGCTGGTTATCCGGATCCCTTGGAGGGGCCCGTCTGCTAAGGATCCAAAAGCAGAGGCATCTGAAGATGGGACGATCTTCGGAAGTTTCAATTTGGACTTATCGAGATCGAAGAATTTGAGCAACCAATCATCATATTGAAGTGTATGCAGGTTGGCAAACATGGTCCTTGATGCATTCGTGATATCAGTAACGAAGACATTCTTCTTCTTGCCGCCGTTGAGGTTGTACAGCAGCCAAGTATCGACGGTCCCAAAGGCAAGTCGGCCCGCGTCATACGCTTCTTTGACCTCCTTCGAATTTCGGAGAAGCCAAGCCAGTTTTACGGAGGATGGATACGTGGATAGAGGCAGACCACATTTTTCTTGAAGCTGGTCGGCACCTTCTTTTGCCTTCAACTCCCGAACCAACGAAGTGGTGCGGGTATCGGGCCATGCAATTGCGCTATGGAGGGGTTCCCCAGTCTCCCAATCCCATACGACTGTTGTTTCGCGCTGGTTGGTGATGCCCAAGGCTTGGATATCGGAGACTGAGTGGCCCAGGTTCACAAATGTTTTCTTTGCCTGGGCTATACAAGACTCGACGGATGAAACAATCTCTCTTGGGTCCTGCTCATGCCACCTAGAAACAAAGGCAGTTCAACGTCAGTGCTGAAGAGAGCTAACCTTGGCTGTTGTCTATGGACTGGTGCTTACCCGGGGTATTTATGCAAGCGTCTCAGCTCTGTCTGATACGAAGCAACGAGGGTGCCTTTATTGTCAAATATAATGAATCGCGTGCTAGTTGTTCCCTGATCGATAGCACCAACAAACCGACGTTGAGGCTTTGTGGTATCGGCTAAGAAAGGCCCGCGGGCCGGGGCCGGCTGGCTAGCTTTAGAGCAGTCGATGTCACGGCCGACCTGATTAAAAACGGGGATTGCAGTGGCTTCAGTCATTCCCAAGTCGCCCATTACCCTGCAGAATCTGATATTTAAATTTGCTATTACAATGCGAATTGCTCTGGTCTAGTGTGTGGGCTGGAGGTCGAGGTGATGGCCTCGGAGACTGAAAACCGAGCTTCCGGGACTTTGGACGCAAACGTAGGATGTAGACTTAGCCAGCAGGTTGAGACGAGAAGAGCGTAAGAGGTCAAATTAGGGGGACAGGATACAGGTGGGCAAGCAATTGGGAAAAAGGGTTCTGAGGGAGCAGATTTCGGCCCAGGAGAGACGACTATAGTATTATACAAGACTTCCACTGCTCGACCCATAGTATGCTCGGTCGTCATGTGCGCATCTTGGTGGGGAGTCGTCAACTGCGGGGCATCAACTTGGTTGCTGGTAAGGTTACGTAGCGTCCATCCTGCTCTTTGATTTCTCTGTCTCGGTTGATAACTCGTGCTTCACAGGGCGCCAGAGCATAATTAGCTCTCTCTCGGCTTTGCTTACAGACGACTATCCAACGCCCTTCTCTCGCAGCACGCGCAAGACTCGACACCGCGCATCCTCACCCAGGCGCCGAACACCAGGTGTCGAACGTGCGTCCATGTGCAGTGACGCGACCCGCGGGTTGGATGGCAAACCGGGTTTTGAGTTGCTGTTCATGCAGGTCCTCTGCTTGCATTAGTCGCACAATGAGTCCCGCAGCCTTAGTTTCTCATGCATCACAAATGGCGCCCCCTCCCGAAGCTTGTGGCACCGTTGCACGGCCAGCTCCTTGGGATATCAAGCTATCGATGGGCTACGGGACTAAATAAGAAAGTCGCCCGGGCAACACTGAAGGTCACCCTTCACACTGACGGTGGTTTCCCCCATTTCACCGTCCTGAAGAGAGGGCAAAACGGTAACTAACATAAGAAACACGAAAAGGCTAGGCTTTCCCTACGGACAAGCTTCGATTGTTTTAATCTTTCGAACAACCTTAAAAAACCCTTCGAGAAAAGCAAGATTGAGCTGGCCGAGCTTCCCTTGAGGAAACTATCCCGAGGCTCATCGCCTCCGCCCCTCCGTTCTCGCCAGCTCTCGATTGCGGAGAAAGGAAGCGAAATGGGACGAAAGAAGAGAAAAAATTTTTGCCATCAGTGAGACCTCTTGACCCACGGATCCAACGTCTGGATTACCAAAGGAGAATGACCACATAACGGGCTTGAACAGGCTGGGCAATCAGCTGCACCCAGCCGGATTGCGCAATCTTTTTCGCTTCTCTCCTATCTGTCAGTTTCCCCTGATATGCCCAGATATGTAAGTAGTGAAGAAAGGGGGCGAGATTGCGATTCTGTCATCACTTCTGCCTGAGTGACCTCGCTGAGCAACCTCGACAGACAACATGTCCACGCAGAAGTCCATTGGAGCAGTTGTTGTTATTTACTTAACTACCTCCAAAGTTTGAAGAAAGTTGAAAGCGCTAACTAATGCGAGTCACCTCCTGGAAAAAAGGATGACTGGCATGCAATCCGTGATTGACATAGGCTAACTTAATATTTTCAAAACATCGATGATCTTAGCCAGGTTATTTTTAGAAGGGATTTTCTCTCCACAAGATGGGTTCTTTCTAGGGCAAATCATCGTTATTTTGTTTCCAGAGTCCGCGTTGCAGAACTGGAGATAAAAACCTAGATGTGCATCTGGACTACAAGTGCTGATATTCTGGACAAAACATACTCCGTACAAAACCTAAAGAGTGGTTTTACTTACCGCTAATGCAAGCATTTTTGGAACCCAGCCTTCTTGTCTCCTGATGCTTGCATTGCGCCTTCGATCAATCAGTTGGTCGGGTTTGTGGCGGGTGTTGTTCGGAAGGGAGCGGCCGAGGATGGTGCCACCGTTGGCTAGAAAATATATATGGAAAAACTCCGCAATTTTCATGGGGAGCCAAGATTGATGATTCTTGCTGACAGTATTTACATGAAATTGAACAAATGGAATGATTATTGCGATTGCAAAGTTCAAAGGAAACGACCCTGGCTAATCTACAGATACCTCAAGGACTGATCAACATTACCCCAAGACACAACCACTACTGCTGACGATAATGCAACTTTTTCGGTCCTTACCCTGCGCTCCGTTTATTGTTCCTTGCTTTCGGCCTCTTTAGCGGCCTCGGCCTCGTTCTTCCACTGAACTGCTCTCAAAGCCTTGACCTTATCAGCGACACCGTGCTTGGAGTCGTAGTGGGATGCCAATTGCTCCCGTCCGATAAGACTGGCAACAATACTGGCACCCACAACAAAAGTAAGGACGAAGCGGTACATGTGGTACCACGGTGGGGTCCATCCCTTGACGGCCGCGCGGGCATCGCTATAGTACAAGAAAGTGAACGCGCAGAATTGAGTGATCAACGCATATTCTGCAGGTAAAAGGAGCGTGGGCCAAGCGACGGCTGGGGCAATAACTCCGGTTGCATAGCGTTTGTAGCCAACCTTGCCGCCGTATCCGGCCCATTCCAGACCCCAGTGGACAGCACCAAGGAAGGAGAGGATCTATCAAAGTTGGCAAATATTCGATACTCCGCGTGAAGGTAGAATGGTCAACATACCACAGCACCGTATCCAATCTGGAGGGGCTCAATGACGTTCATGAGCAGCTCAGCGCTTTCGCCCGAAATGAACTTGCCGCTGCCGGTTGTCAAAGCGTTGTTCATTTCCCATGAAAGGTAGACCGTCTGGAGGGAGGTTGCAAGGTATGGCATAACACCAGCCAAACCGAGATAGAGAGCTTCCTTCGGGACATCCTTCAAACTAAATGTCTCTTTGATGATTTTCTAGAATCCACATATCACAATGGTTATTAACAGTACCTAACAAACAACGACCATTGGGATGCTCACGGCGTCGTTCTTCACACCAGCCATCATGTCAATATCTGGATCCTCAACAAGCTCGGTTCCCAGCTTCTTGTCGGAGGTTGAAGCATATCGAACCAAAGCGGTGGTAACCGGCTTCCGGGTAGCCAAGGCCAGAGTCGACGGACGAGCAAAGGGCGATTGGCGGGCCGAAACTGTGAATTGCGACTTGAAAACAGTATTCGTCAAGACAGAGCGGGTTATCGAGGCATTGACGGCGGATGGGCTCGCTCGAAAGAGGGAGCGGGCGGCGGCTGCTCGGTAAAACATGGTGGGCTGTGGAGGATTGTGCGAGAAGTGGTTGGAAGGAACGGGAGTCTCAATGGGGTGCAGAAAGCCACAGTCCACCCAATTGGTTCCAACTATCAAGGAAGACGGCTTTTGGAAGAGGGGAGATGGGAGGAGTGCGAGCACCGCGATGTATTCGTGAGCAACAATGCAACCAGTCGTTCACAAGAGGTGGTCATGAATCGAGTCTTGGTCAAAGATTTGGCTGGTAGTCACGCCAAGACTGCGTATTACCTAAGCATCTCCGACGTGGCTTAGAT